GAAGAGAAGAGAGAGAAGAAGAAGAGAAGAGAGAGAAGAGAGAGAAGAAGAAGAAGAAGAAGAAGAGAGACAGAAGAGAGAGAGAGAGAAGATGAAGAAGAAGAGAGACAGAAGAGAGAGAGAGATGAAGAGAGAGAGAGAAGATGAAGAAGAAGAGAGACAGAAGAGAGAGAGAGATGAAGAGAGAGAGAGAAGATGAAGAAGAAGAGAGACAGAAGAGAGAGAGAGAAGATGAAGAAGAAGAGAGAGAGAGAAAGCAGAAGAAGAAGCAGAAGCAGAAGCAGAAGAAGAAGAAGAGAGAAATAAGTAAATAAATAGAGAGAGAAAAAAATCTGCTCAAGGAGCTTCAAACTTTTTTTTGTGTTGGCACCCTCTTTCAGCGTGGGAATGGAAAGGTATCAGAGATATTCATGCAACCCAAAATAATATACTTCTTGCAAAAATACACAAGGAGAGATGGTTTGCTATGTAATTTGCACTTAATCTGTCATTTCAAATCCAGTACTGTGCGCAAGATATTGAATGAAAACAATGAATAATGTCAACAAAACGTAACGTAGTCTCAAATTATTTTTAAAATCAACCAATCTGGTCAAACATATTATGTATGCTGCTCCTTCAGGGCAGGTAGAACTTAAAAGACAGACCTTCTAATCTAGAGGTAGGGACATTAAAAATGCTTTGTGATGCAGCAGTAAAGGTTTCCTTCTGATCAATTTGTTCACAGAGCAGCTGTAACACAGTGAAATGACATAACTATAACGAATCTCAATATAAAAGAAAAATAAATCTTACAGGTAGAAAGAGTCGCTGAGAAGCACAAGGCTTGAACAACTTCTTCCATATCCCTGCAGTTTCATCAGGAAATGTTATTGGGTAGATAGTGTGATTAAACTGCTGATGGAAAGCTTTCTTCCAGATTTCCAGCTGTGGGCCAAAAAGAGACACATTACTGACCAGACATTCCAACAAAATTCAATGCCAGAAAAATACTACTTCAAAATAAAACAAAACAATCATTGGATAATTCATAGAATTTTCCTCAAATGATTGGTTTTGCAATTGAAATCTCCAAGTTGCACTTAAGTAGGTTTTTATTCTTTTGCAGGTAAGCAAATAACTAAGTGGTGTTACTATAGGGTCAGGGTCACTGTCACCTTCTAACTATCTAACCAGTCGCAGGTGCCAAAGAGGAGGCCATCTTCAATAGAGAAGATAGTTAACCAGGCAAAATGGGGAGAGAGAGAGAAAAATGGTGCAGTAATGGCATTAAATACAAACATTTTAAAAACTTTCTTTAAAACAATCTAATTCAACGTACGCAGGGGCGTATTTCTTTGTAAAACTTGTTTAAATAAAATATGTGAACTATCAATACAGGTACATACCGTACTATTGAACTTCTTATGAAGTTCATCCTCTGCAAATATGTGAAAATGAAGTGGTTTCTGACTAAATAAAATGGCAGACTTCAGCATTGTTAAAGTTTCTTCCAATCTCTGTCCACAAGTTACCACGGCCAGATGCATCCTCCGTGAAGGTTCTTTCGATGAGCTTGCAGGGCTCCAAGTTTTTGCTTCATGTCTACCAAATTAAAATTTTGTTATAGATCGCAAACCTCCATGCTGCAAATAAAAAATCACGACACCTGTATATCTTTTCAAAAGTGATGCTTTCCAGAAAAATATTACAGTGCTCAGGAAGTCTGCATAATAGGATATTCAGAGTGTCATAGAGCACCGAAACAGACCCTTTGGTCCGACTCGTCCCTGCAGACCAAGTTTCCCAAACTAAGCTAGTCCCACTTGCTGTGTTTGGTCCATATCCTTCTAAATCTTTCCTATCCATGTACCTAAAGTGTTTTTTTTAATGTTGTTACTGAACCTGCATCTATCACTTCCTCTAGCATATCATTCCACATGCAGCCACTCTGTGCGAAAAAGTTGCTCCTCAGGTCCCTTTGAAAGCTTTCTCTTCTCACCTGAAAAATATGCTCCCCAGTTTTGAACTCCCGTACCCTGGGGAAAAGACCTTTGCTATTCACCTTATCTGCACCCCTCATGATTTTATAAACCTCTAAAGGTCACCCGTCAACCTCATATGCTCCAGTTAAAGAAGTCCCAGCCTATCCAGCCTCTCCTTATAACTCAAACACTCTATTCCCAGTGAAATCCTGGTAAATCTTTTGTGAACTCTCTCCAATTTAATAATATCCTTCCTAATAGCAGGGCAACTAGAACTGTAGACAGTACTCCAAAAAGTGGCCTCAGCAACATCCTGTACAACCTCAGCATTACACCCCCAACTCCTTTACTCAATGGTCTGAGCAATGAAAGCAAGTCCAGTTACTAAGTCATTGAAGGAGTACAAATGTCGCATGTCTCAGTAGTGACATCCTCATGCACGTGAGCAATAAATCAAACACTGCTCGCACACGATGAAGAGTAGTAAATAAATTAGTTTAGCTGTGGCATGCAAATCTTTATCCTGTTTCATCTGTATTTCCATAAAAGACTAAAATAGAGCTGAGCTGTGAATCTGGGACAATCTCAAATGTTTTCCAACTAAACAGGTCAATGGATCAGCAAACTATCCTTTAAACCTCAACAATGCTAATTATGAAATGTTACGATTGGACCCGAGGTGAGATTCATCAGCTTGTTACAATTCTAAACAAACCTGTTCCCAGGTGAGGGGGGAGAAAGCAGAGATGAAGTGGCTCCCCTTCTTAATTCAACCCCTCTCTTGGTTGGTAGCAACAAGTTTATTTTAAAAAGCATCACTTCCTCATCATACCTTTTCTGAGCACTTGCATTTTAAAAGGAAGCCAAATTAACCAGACTCTCAAGTTCAAGGAAGAGAGAGTTTATAAGCCATTAAACACAAAAAAAGTAACGGGTCATCCACAAAAAGAAAGTAAATTGGGTAAAAAGAACAGCAATTGAAAAATAGAAATCAAATAAAATCAGTCAGTCTCTGGGCTCCCAAAAGGGAAATTTTGAGAGTTGACCATTAAATTAGATTGAAATCACCAATGCTGAAGTTGAAAGACAAGCAATTGACTCTGCAAGTTTATTGACAGACTTTTGAATCATTTCCTTTTTAACAGTGGAGTGGAGCCTTTCTTCATCTTCTTAAACGGTGACCTTCACTGCACACTAATCCAGTCTAGCACATCAGACCCCTACAAACAGACAGTGGATTGGGGTTGGTTTGGGACAAATAAAAAAACCTGCAATCGGGACAATTCACAGGAGATTAAACATAGAAACGAGGAGCTGAAGCAGGCCATTTGGCTCTTCAAGCCGGCTCTGCCATTTAATATAATCATGGCTGATCTGCTATCTCAGTGGGATTACGTAATTTTCTCCCTGTACCCCTGGTGCCTTTAAAATCTAAAACTTTTAAAAAATTATCTTTCTTCAATACTGACTTAGCCCCCCAGCCTCCTGTTGTAGCGAATTCCACAGGTTCACTACTGTTTGAATGAAAAAAATATTTTCTTATCTCAGTCCTAAATTGTCTACCCTGTAACTTGAGACTGTGTTTCCTGGTTTTGACTTTCCAACAATGGGGAAAAAAATTCTCCCAGCATCTAGTTTGTCCAGCCCTGTTGGAATTTTCCACATTTCAATCAGATCCACTCTCATCTGTCTAAACTCTAGTGAATACAAGCCTAGGCAAACCAATCTTCTCATAGGACAATCCTGACATTCCGAGTAATAGTCCTGTGAGCCTCCACTGCATTTCCTGTAGGGCAAGTATAAGCTTTCTTGGGAGGGATACCAAAACTGCGCACAATACTCCAGATGTGATGTCACCATGTCCCTGCACTACTGCAGTAAGAAATCCCTACTTCTGAACTCCAGTCCTCTTTCAACGAAACCAATACACTATTTGCCTTTCTAATTGCTGGCCACATCTGCCTGTTAATTTTCATTGAACTAGAGTAAAAGGACATCTAGACTAATACAATCAATAAAATTAAGAACTATGGACGCTGAAGATATCAAACAAACAAAAACAAATTGCTAGAGCAACTCAGCAGGTCAGCAGCATCTATGGAGAAAACACAGTTAAACTTTTTGAGTCCAGTGACCCTTCTTCAGAACATCTGGACTCCTTTGTACATCCACACTTCCCTAAATAACACAATTTAAATAATACTCTTCCTTTCTGCTTTTCATACCAAAGTGCATAACTTCACAGTTAGCCATGCTGTATGTGTGCCTCCTTTATATTCTCCTCACAACCCCGTACAGTTTTGTGTATCGGTCAGCAAACTTGGAAATGTTGCATTTGGTTTCCTTATCCAGATCATTGTATATCGTGACTAGCTGGGTCCCAACAGCATTCCATTAGTCTCTGCCTACCACTTGGCAAAAGACATTTATTCCCACTCTGTTTGTTGACTAAAATAACAAGGTGTAGAGCTGGTTGAACACAGCAGGCCAAGCAGCAGAGGAGCAGAAAAGCTGACGTTTCGGGCCTAGACCCTTCTGTTAACCGATTCTCGACCTATGCCAATATCTTATCCCATGTGCTTTAATTGTGCCCACTAATCTCTGAAGGGACCTTATCAGAAGCCTTCCGAAAAATCCAAATACATCACATCCACTTGTCCTCCCTTACCCATTTCACCAGTTACATCCTCAAAAATCAACTGTAGATTTGTTCAGCACGATTTGTCATTCATAAACCAATGCTGGCTTTGTCCAGTAAATTAATGTGATAATATCTGTAAAACATCTTCTATAATAGACTCTAGCATTTTCCCCACTACTGATTTTGGGCTAAATGGCCTGTAATTCTCTTCCTTCCTTTTAAATAGTGGAGTGCATTTGCCATCCTCTAATCTGTAGGAACTACTCCATCCTATAGAATTTTGGAAGGTGGCCACCAATGCATCCAATGTTTTCAGGGCCAATTCCTTTACTCTGGGATGTAGATTATCACTCCTTGTGATTTGCCAGCCTTTAACCACATTAATTTCCTAGCACTCTTTTCTTACTAACATGGCCTTCCTTCAATTCATCCCTTTCACTGGACCCTTTGTTCCATAACACTGGAGAGATTTCTGGTGCCCTCTTTTTTGAAGGCAGAACCAAGCTATCTGTTCAATGCTTCTGTCATTTCTTTGTTCCCCATTATAATTTTCTCAGCTTTCTGACTGTAAGGGAATTACATTCATCTTCAATACATATGTGAAGAGAAAAAACTGTAAAGTTTTACAGTCAGTTTTTTGTGTTACCTGGAATTTTGCACTTATACTTTATTTTCCGCCTCTTGTTAAAAATGCAATATGCTTTTCTGAATTCTAAAATACTGCCATTCCTCAGGCTTTTTCCTAGGGTAGGGAGATCCAGACAAGAGGGCATAGGTTTAAGGCGAGAGGGAAACATTTAGAAAGGACACGAGGGGTATCTTTTTCATGGAGAGGGTGGTGCATGTATGGAACGAGCTGTCAGAGGAAGTGGAGGAGGCAAGTACAATTATAACATTTAAGAGGTATTTGAACAGGAAATGAATAGGAAGGGTTTAGAGGGATATAGGCCAAATTCTGGCAAATGGGACAAGGTCAGATTGGGATGACTTGTTGGCACGAACAAGTTGGACTAAAGGGTCTGTTTCTGTGTTGTATGACTCTAAATCTGGTAAACACATTTCTGATTTTGGGCGACTGAAATTGATGATATCAAAAAGTATGTCAATGTTAACTGGTGGAAATATATATAAAATAGGCAACAGACATACAGTCTGAATATCTGACACCACAGTTTATGGGCTCCATTAAAGTAAATCAGCCATATGGAATCACGATGAAAACAATTTTAATCATTGCCTGGATCTTCTGATTAGGATTGGAAACTTTATTTCTGAGCCTGAACAGGCAAAAAAATATACACATACTTACCTCCTTTAGATTTTTCCAAGTGAACTTCTATTGGAGAATGTTTTGGATCTGATTCAGTGCAGCAAATGTCAAAGAAAGCAAAATAGAGAATCCATGTTCCTTTCTGTGACACTAGTTGTTATATCCCCAATGTCCTTCTCACAGATATCAATTTAGTGATATCTTGGTCTCCAACAATCCAGAGTCCGAGAGAGTTGGGGATGTCTAAATTTTGTCTTCAATTGGATTATATGGATATGAATCAATTGTATTTAGAATCTAAAATCCTGCAGATGCTGGAAACCTGAAACAAACAGAGAATGCTAGAAAAACTCAGCAGATCAGCAGCATCCGTGGAGAGATAAACAGAGTTAATATTGAGACTGGTATGACTTTTTTGTCAGAACTCTGAACAGACATGCTCAGTCTCTCCAGTATTTTGTATTTACGACTTGGTTACTTTACAAACACAAACTGAATGCAAGAAATACTCTCCACCAATTGTTGTGCATTCGCATGTTTCAATGCAAGTTATTCATTATTTTTGACAAAACTGAAATTCTTCGGCACTAACAATGTTTATAACTGCGTTCTTACACGCATTTGTGAAAAATGACATCCTTTTAAAAAGGTATCAATTGAAACGCGTTAATACTACAACAAACGGCAGTACATGCCTAAAATAGAAAAA